ACTTCTTTTAAAGTTTAATAGGCATTTCAAGTAAATTATGTTGTAGTAATGAATGTTTTTACATTACATGTAATGTAAATGTGACGATGTTTAATTAATATTTAATTAAAACACAATAATTAGTAACCAAGATGTGTCATTATTTCATTACATATGAAATCCTTTAAAACAACCGTCCAACAAACAGCTATCTTCTACAAATGTCGAAAACTAACTTATTTTCTATCAGTTAGTTTTTCAACTAACTAATAACTTCTATCGGTTACTTTTTAATCCAACTAACTTGTAACTTCTATCAGTTACATTTTATGGGACTAACTTCTAACTTCTAACTAGTTAGAAATTTTGACTAACTTTCCCAACTATGTCTCACGACTACGACAAACTGTCGTGGTGCAGTCGTCCACTGCAACTGTGATCCACGACTGTCTAACTCGCAGTGGCGTACACGATCAAATGGGCGCTCGCCCACAATAAGATTTTTGTCTAATGTCGTGCATTCTCCCCAGTAGTCCTATATATACTTTTTACAATGAACTCATACTTCTTCATTATTATAGTTGTTATTAGTTATAGTTGGTTCTGCCTTTTTTTACCATTCTCTTGAATATTTCTTATCGTAAATAAATACTTTGTACAATTCATTCATAGTTTTTTATTATAATGTTTGATATATCGCTTGTTTTTCAACCATTATTTTGCGTGATTTTGATCTTCCTATTTATTTTTTACAATTTGTACATATTTTTTCTTTATGATTATATACTGCATCACTTATAAGTAAATATACCAAAATAATTATTGAAACAATGCAAGTTTGGTTATTATTTAATATTTTATAATCATTATTATTAATTATATTGTGTGAAATAGTTTAACTAATACCTAAATATTACTTTTCGCAGATTATATTAATAAAATTAAATCAGTAATATTTAAAAACGAATCCAAAAAATTGGAACATAAAAACTTTTCACCAGACTATCCCAAAAACCTATGATAGTTATGGTAAATTTAAAAACTTGTAAAAGGCATGGACTTTCATATAATTTGAAAATGTCTAGATACATTAACTTAAGAAATAATCTACACATAAAAAGAATTATTTCTTTAATGCTGTAGGCCTACATTGGCCACTCTGCAGCCACATTGCAACAACATGTAACAGATTCATTGTTTTACAATTTGATACAGAACCACTGTTTTAAGATATTGTGCAACACTCACTCACTCTTCCAGAGCTACCGAGCAACTGGTCATTTATCCGATAAAGTGTCGTAAAGTGGGCGAGGACCACACATACGATAAGAATATCATACAACAAAGTGTCGTACGACCAAAATCTTAAAGTGGGCGAGAGGCCATACCAATGAGCAGATTGAGCCTCACTGAAGAAATGATTAGGATTTTGGAAGACAAGGTTGGACTAAGTCGGAAAGCAAGAATGCCAGAAGAGAGGAGACATTAGATGAGTGGCAAATGCGCTATGAGCAAGAAGCAGATGAGACAGAAAGGGAAATGTTCGGATGTATGCCAAACATCAGAAAGAGACTGGAACAAGATTGGGAGATGGGCCATTACAGGGTGTCCACCAAGCCAACCAGAAAAAATTCATGAATAATTCATGAGTAAAAAAAAATCCAGGTAGTTCAGTTCATACTTTTTATACTAAAATTTCCAACATGTTTTGCGCCAACTCTCGCAATGCTGTTTTAGCGCTAACACAGGTCGCTATTTTAGTTATCGGAAAGAGCATTCTCAGTTAAAGAAACTAAATTTATGATTACTGTAATATTGCCTGACACAAGTATTCTATTTTGATATATTACTGATTAAATAATCCGAAAATTAAAAACTAATCCTTACACCTGTAATTTATCAATAACTTCTTAAAAATAGTGATATGTCGATACCAAAATTTTTTGAATCTCTGTACACACACCTGAAAAATATATTCTTAATACTGATGATTTCAATTTTACCAGATTTTCTGTAATGATTACTACACCAACCCCTGTCTTTATGTACTTTCATAAGTATGTAATTTTGGAGTTATAGGTTGTTTCTCAAGTGACCTACAGAAATAATTATTGTAGAAATTACAAAAATTTCACGTAGCCAATTTAATTTTTAACCTCTTCTAAACACATTAAATAAATACCACGTTAAAGGTAAATGAAGATATTAGAAAATATAAAAATAAAACTTTCTAGAATTGTACCATTTTGAAATTTTTGGTCAAGCCAAACTCGAGGTTATATCGTGATCATCTAACACTGTCGTAGAGACACTATCATCGTTTTCTGCGATAACTGAAAAATCCTGAATATCTCACTCAGTAACAGAAACATCACCACTGTCTTTCGTGGTTGTGACCAAATTCTGATATTTTTCAGCGGTAACAGAAACATTATAATCCTCTTCCGCGGTCACGGAAACTACATCGTCATCTCCCGCAGTCACGGAAACGTCATCGTCGTCTCCCACGGTCACGGTAATGTCATCGTCGTCAACCGCGGTCATGAAAACGTCATCGTCTGCTCCCGCGGTCACGGAAACGTCATCGTCGTCACCCGCGGTCACGGAAACGTCATCGTCGTCACCCGCGGTCACGGAAACGTCATTGTCTTCTCCCGCGGACACGGAAACGTCTTCGTCTGCTCCCGCGGTCACGGGAACGTCATCGTCGTCTCCCGCGGACACGGAAACGTCATCGTCGTCTCCCGCGGTCACGGAATTGTCATCGTCTGCTCCCGCAGTCACAGATACGTCATCGTCGTCATGTGGGATTGCGGCAAATCACTAACAAATCTCTCGGCTGTTTGGACATCATCGTCGTCTCCTGTGGTCACGGAAATGTCATCTTCATGCGCAGTCGTGGCAAATTGAAAATTCCCGGTAAAATACGGAATTTACACAACATTCTTCTGTCCTGAAAAAGCATGTAGCAGTAGCGTATGACTAGCAGTACGTACTAGAATTTCTATTAATCTGCTCTTTACATAATTTATTGCTTTACAGTGTTTAGTATTTTTTTTTGTTCGAGTAAGCTGTGATTTTTAACTTACAGTTTTTATTACTAAGCCAATGTTAATAACATGACAAATTATGATTGCGCAATAGCCTACTAATTGTATTTTGATGATGTAATAAAATGCAAATTATCACACTAACGGCCATTTATATAGTTTTAGCCTTTACTATGTTTTTTTTGGGTGAGGTTCATATCTAAAATATTAAATAAACAGTGCGTTTCATAACCTCCAAACTTCATAAACTCCAAAACTATAACTTTCAAATAAGCACAGTTTCACAATGTCCAAATTTCACAAACTCCAACGTTAATATATTAAATAAACAGTGCGTTTCATAACCTCCAAATTTCATAAACTCCAAAACTATAACTTTCAAATAATCACCGATTCACAATGTCCAAATTTCACAAACTCCAACGTTTAAATATCAAATAAACAGAGCGGTTCATAACCTCCAAGTTTCATAAGCTCCAACGGTACAGTCTCTGCCAGAAGTAGCTGCAGAGGTTGCCGTGCCATAACAAAAAAAAAACTACTGATGTAATCATCATGAAATTTTAACAGCTATTAGAAAATATACTTATAAAATATATTTATATGTTTTAAAATTTTTCATCGGTAAAAAAAATCTCTTACGATATTTGTAGTGGCTTTAATTGAGAGACGGAACAGTTAAGAAACTCAGTGAATTAAAGCTATTAAAAATATAAAAATGTAAATTTGATTTGCACATTGTGTGCTAACACATATTTGAGTCACACAGCTGAGTGTTCTTCAATCATTAAAATGCACGTATAATCAGTAGTTGAGCGCTGGCGAACGGTGCCTGCTATCTGACTGTGGCAACCCCTGTAGAGACTTCTGGCCCAGACTGTTCCGTTGGAGGTTATGAAATTTGGACATTATGAACCGCACTGTTTATTTGGTATCTTAACGTTGGAGTTTGTGAAACTTGGACATTGTGAAACAGTGATTACTTGAATGTTATAGATTTGGAGCTTATGAAATTTGGAGGTTATGAACCGCTCTGTTTATTTAATATTTAAACGTTGGAGTTTGTGAAACTTGGACATTGTGAACTAGTGATTATTTGAATGTTATAGTTTTGGAGCTTATGAAATTTGGACATTATGAAACGCGCTGTTCATTTAATATTTTAAGCGTTGGAGTTTGTGAAATTTGGAGTTTATGAAACACTCCCTTTTTTTTAATGTCATGTTGGATTAACCTTGGTTTCAGTTCGTGGTCTCCCTCCCCCACCCCATTACCCCAGATAATCAAGATTCTACTGTAGTAGCAAAACTAATGTACTGTAATCAACTTCAGCACTACCCAAAGACAAGTAAATAGAACATCTACTTGCAGTACCTATCCAAAGTCAATGGTATATTTCGTTCAAGTAAATCGGATGTCTACTTGCAATATCAAAGTCAATGGCACGTCTAGTTCTAGTAATTGAAATGTCTACTTGCAATATCTTAAGTCAATGGTTCATCTGGTTCACATAAATTAAATGTTTACTTGCAGTATCCAATGTCAATGTTGTACCTGTGTCTTGTAAATGGGATATCTACTGCCAGTAACTAAAGTCAATGCTGAATGTGGTTCACGTCAATGCAATGTCTAATTGCTGTATTCAAAGTTAATGATTTATGTGGTTCACATAAATGGAACCCCTATTTCCAGTATCCAATGTCAATGCTGTACCTGTGTCTTGTAAATGGGATATCTACTTCCAGTATCTAAAGTCAATGCTGAATTTGGTTCATGTCAATGCAATGTCTAATTGCTGTATTCAAAGTTAATGATTTAGGTGGTTTACATGAATGGAACCCCTATTTGCAGTATCCAAAATATATGGTCCGTCTGGTTCACGTAAATGGAATGTCTACTCGCAGTATCCTGTAGTAACAACTATAACAATAAATAATAATTGTAAGGTTGTTAACAGGTACAAGTATTTACCGTGTGCCAAGTGTCATTGTGTACATCGTATCTATCTATAGTGTCCACCAGCACTCTGTTGCCAGTGTCCAAGTCTTCGTACCAGCCACCACACACATAAAGACTGCCATTGACAACCAACATGGCATGATCCACACGAGGGGTTAGCATGTTCGCCCTGCTCTCCCATCGGTCTTCATCTGTGTCGTACCTAGACATAAAGTACAAAAACTATATTAGAATTAAGAAAAGTAAGTTGAAAGTGGAACAACCTTTCTAAAATTTGTAGGGTTGAGTGCCAAGTCTCTGTCCAGTCCACTGTTCACTAGGGGTCTACAAATCCCTGATATTTTTGGGTCTGGTCATGTAACAGTTAGCCAGAAATATCATATCGAGCCAGAAATAAATCTACAGTCGGGTCATTTATGATGTGAGCGCATCTATTTTTAAGTCAAGCCAACTCAAGCTTAAATTATCGCGATCTGTTCACCGTTCTGCTGACATCACGGGAGACAATGATGTCCCTGCAACTGCTAGGGACTTTTAGATTTGTCTGTCACATCAAAAGATTTTCTGCATTTGGCCGTGACCACAAAGGTGTTTGCAATTTTTCCAAAACATCGAAGATGTTTTCCTTGACAATAGAGGTTTTTTACTATTTTGCCGTGACTGCGGAAGACGTACATGATTTCAAAGTGACTGTGGAAGATGCTCACAATTTTGTTATGACCTAAAGAGTTGTTCTCAATTACTCTGTGACCAAAAAAGATGCATACCATTTTCCCGTTACTAGAAGGGTTTTTGCGATTGAGACCGCAAGGGGTTTGCGATTTCACCATGACAACGGAGGTTTTCACGACTTCACCATGCCTGCATAAAACGTTTATACTTTTGCAGTGACCATAGAAGATTCAATTTTCAAATTCAATTTCACCATTTTCAATTTCCCTGTAAGACCAAAAAAGTTTACCAAATTTTTTTTTTGACGTTTAAGATTTTTGCAATTTTGTCGTACCATTCACTCACCTCTTCATGGAGTTGAGTGCCAAGTCTCTGTCCAGTCCACCAGTCTGTAAAGTTCTTTAACCTTTGTTTGGTAAATAAGTAATAAATAAATGTCCAGGGTTTACAATGATGAATACATATAAACCTTTTATTAGTCAAATTGTACAAATAAGTAGGGTTATAAATTTAGATGAAACTCTTAATCTCAGGGTTCTAGGAATGTGCCGGCTTAAAGTAGGCTTATGTGATGTTGTATAGGCATAAGCCTAATGTTCATCACAAGTTATGTACAGTTCAATTTACACTTTTGAAAGAAGAAAGTTCAAATTTTGAATTTAGTAAAATTACAATTTAGGTAAAAGTTCAAAACGGCAAAAGCCAATAGAAATTTTGGAATGTGAGTATTTAACAAAGTACAAGTTCAGTTTGATCTCACCCAAAAGTTTATGGTAGTCTTCTCCACAAATATATTTCTTGAGGTAAAAATGATATGTATTAAATAATTGAGAAAAATCTTGATATTTTAAATACTATAAAGTTAAATCACCAATTAAAAGTTTTAAATACTCTTCCTGTCTTGCTTCTTCATTACTTATTCTCAATTGAAAAAAATCTTGATTCTTGATGTTCAATTTCATACATCTGTTTCAACAATTAGTTCACTGGTTTCTTGATGTCACTATTCACTGTTACTTTTATGATTGGTTGGTATTATATGAAGAGTATTTTAATTACATTTTTGAAAGTGAAAGAGAAGAATAATTTTGTAAAATAATTCAAACTGTATAAATAACTTCCAGTGATTATAAATTTGGCTTATTAAATAAATGACAGTGTTTGATGAGAATGTGAAATATGGAAATTTACAATAGGTGGAACCTTTTGCCCTTTTACTGCATGTAAACACATGTGATAATTTAGAGATATGAATTTAGCTAATAGTAGGCCTAGGAATATACAAATTCAAAAGTAAACAATGAGGATAATTTTGGAACATCTCAAATATCCCCTCAGAAATCTGGTATTTGAGTATCCAATACTAGATTTCGAATAATGTGAACAAAATTATCATAGAAAACATTAATATTTGAACAGGAGAATACATAAAATTAACAAGTTGTATCTTCTGAATAAGAGAAAACATAGTACGGTAATGAACAAGGTGAAAAAAATAAAAGTTTATAAGTCAATGGGAGATTAATGAGATATAAAAATTCACTTGAATAGATCAATGTGAAAAGAATGATATTATATACAATATTTACAATTAGGTCATGAATAAACTTGACAGGTTTGTGGTGATTAGATCTCTTCATTGATCGGAGGTAGGTAATGCTTGAGTGCAGAAACATGGTATGGTCCAAGTTCTTGTTCTTCATTTGGAAGACAAACTATGTACGTTGAATCTCCTAGTGCTCGGTGAATCCTGAACGGTCCTTCATAAACATTGAATAATTTTGCAGTCTCTCCTAGTATAGCATGTGATAGAGGATGTGCTTTTATCAAAACTAAGTCGTTCAGTTGAAAGGTGGTGGCTTTATGTTGTCTATTGAATTTTGCAGCTCTCTTCCTTCTCTTTTCTCTAATTCGTTGAGAAGCTAGAAAGACTTTTCTTTCCATTGGTATATCTGTAATGAAAGGGTTAGTGATGTACCTCTCCCAGAAGCGTGGATCTCTTCGGCCTAAGTGTAGCTCGTTCGGAGTGAATCCGGTCGTCTCATGGTGTACTTCATTTAAAAACTTGTTAATGTCAGGAATAAAGCGTGCCCAATTTCTATGTTGATGGGAGCAATAGGTTCTTAAGCATCTTTTAACCTCTTTAATAGGTCGTTCAGTCATATTGTAACAAGGGTGATATACAGGGCTAAAGATAGGAATGATGTTATTCTCCTCAAGTTTTCTCATCCAAGCTCGGCTTTTGAATTGAGAGCCGTTATCGCTTTGTATCTTTCTGGGTTTTCCAAATTGTATGAAATGTGTACCGAAGAGTTTATTTATGATGGTCTTGGTGTTAGCTCTTCTGATTGGATAAAGTTTTATAAATTTAGTGAATATATCAATGGTTATAAGGATGAATTTAGTGTTGCCTACACTAGTGGGTAGCGGTCCAATTAAATCTATGGCAAGATGATCATTTTTTGCAGTGCAGTGAATTCCTTTGGCTAATCCATGGTGTGGATGTGGGTTTACTTTGCAACGTTGGCATGAGTCGCAGGTCGCTAATGTGGTTCTGATTCGTCTCCCCATATTTTTGAATATAAAGCACTCTTGCAGGATGGTAAGACACTTTTTCGCCCCGCAATGAAGGTAGTGGTGGTGACATTCCCAAATGAGCTTGTTGATGATGTTCTCTGGTGTAGCTATCAGCCAGTTGTCTCGATGCTTCCGGTAAAGTACTTCTTGGTCCAATTTATAGGTCCGGGATATCTGTTCATACAAGGGTGAATCAGGTCCAAGTCTAAGAGTAGCATATGGTATTCTGAGGACGGGATCTTCTGCTTGAAGTCTGGGCAAATTCAAAAAGTCATTACGCAGCTGAGGGTTGATGATTCTCTTAATGTAAGAGACGATGAGCTCAGGTGAGGAATGAGGTTGAGAATCGGAGGTTGATGGATGGATGATCCGGCTCAAGGTGTCAGCTGTCTGGTTGTCCGTTCCTTTGCAGTGTTCGATCTCGAAGTTGTATTCTTGAATAGCCAAAATCCATCTGGTGAGTCGGTTATTTAACAGTCTGCAGGTTTTCAAGAATGTGAGGGCATGATTATCAGTTAAAATCTTCAATTTGGAGCCTAATATTAAATAGCGTGTTTTTTGTAGGCAGTAAACAATTGCTAAAAGTTCTTTCTCCGTGGTAGTAAAGCGCTGTTCAGCTGGTTGTAATACACGTGATAAAAATACAATAGCTGCTTTGCTTCCATCATCCTTTAATTGATAGAGATGACCTCCGATTGCGTAGTCACTCGCATCGGTTTGTAGGATGAAAGTTTTAGTGATATCAGGGTGGTGAAGTATGTTAGTTTGAAGGAAAAGCGATTTAATTTTGTTAAAAGTGGTATCATCTTCAGGAGTCCAAATAAATTTATTTTTCTTTGAAGTAAGCCGAAATAATGGTTTAATAGTTTCAGAGTAGTGATCAATAAATTTATTATAATAGTTGATACAACCTAAAAATGATTTTAGCTGTTTTCGACTAGTTGGAGTAGGAAAATCAAGTATCGGTTGGACTTTGCTTTGATCCATTTGTAGGCCAGATTCGGTTAGAGTGTAGCCTAGGAAAGGTATGGAACTTTGACAGAAAGTAGACTTGGAGAATTTCACTGTCATATTAGCCTCGGTTAATTTCTTGAGAATAGTTTCAATATGAATTAAATGATCAGAAAAGTCAGAACTGATGATGCAGATATCATCCACATAAATAAGAGTAAAGTCTTCGATTTCATTAGCAAAAACTCTGTATAATGCATGTACAAGAGCGGCTTGTGAAGTTGATACACCAAAGGGGACTACTTTATAGTGATAAGTGTTACCGCGGAATTGAAATCCGGTATAAGGTCGAGATTCAATATCTAAAGGTATCTGCCAGTAAGAAGCGGTTAAGTCGATACTAGTTAACCATTTAGCATTACAGGCTTTTGCTAGAAGTTCATTCACGCTTCTATTACATTCATAATCAGGCACTAGGATTTGATTTATTTTACGAGCATCCAGACATAAACGTATTTCTCCGGATTTCTTTATGATTGGGATTATAGGATTTATGTATGTACTGTTGCTTCTTTCAATTATTCCTAAAGTTTCCATACGGTTTATTTCCTGCATGACAGCGTCTTGATGTGCGAGTGGCACAGGATAAGATTGACATTTGAATGTAGTTGGTTGCTTTACTTCAAGGTGATGCTGGTATTTGTTACATAATCCTGGAGCGTCCGAAAATGTATCTTGATATTTGAGGAGTAAGTTGACGAGTTGACTTTTCTGTTCGGTGTCTAGTAGCTGGTTTTGTTCAATAGTATCAGCTATAGTGTCAGGATTAATTGTGAGTGTTGGTGTATTGGAGTGGTGTAATGTACCATAATTATCATATTTATTTAGTATATGATTTTCATGTGAGTTTTCATCATAATCATATATATCATCATAATCATCATCGTTGTTGTTCATTAAATAGCACAAAATTCCTTCATAATAATTCCCGTCATACTTCAA